GCACAAGACAGGACAGGGTTCAGATCTGTTATTCATAGGATTGCTATGGGTTGTACTGGCCTTGATGGCACACAACAACAACATGGTGCCTACACACAAGCAAAAATCTTCTGAAGATTATCCAAAAATGACTGGAACAATAGATTGATACAGAATGGTCAGAAATACAAACTAGATTTAGAAAAGCCTGTGGAACTTAGGGACATCATTGCTAGATGTCAATGTCAGATGGATCTTGGCTGAAAGCAGAGTACTAGAAGAATGTCTATCTTTGCTTTATTGAGTAAGCAAAGGCATTTGATTGCATGGAGCACAACGAATTTTAACTAAAATTGAGAATAATGGAAATCCCAGAACACTTGATTGTGCTCATGCCAAACCTCTACTTAAATCAGTATGCAGTTGTCTAAACAAACTGCAAGCGAGAAAACATGGCATGGTTCAAAATCAAGAAAGGAGTGCATCAGAGATGTGTCTTATCTGCACATCTTTTCAACCTATATTTGGAACAGATCATTCAGGGGGCTGAATTTTATGAAGAAGGATGTGGCATTAGGATAAGAGGAGGACATAACAACATAGGTTATGCAGATAACAGTTTTGCTTGCTGAAACAAAACTGAGGAGGACCTGAAGTGTTTGCTGAAGAAGGTCAAGTACTGCAGTTTTCAATACAGATTGTAGCTCAACATCAAGAAAACAATGATTCTCACTACCAATTGGTGGGCCAATAGGCAGTATCGTGACAGACAAGAGACTGAGATTATTAACAATTTCAACATTGTTGGCACCAGAAGTCAAGAAATCAGAAAACAAGTTGCACCGGGGACCTCTCTAAAGTACTAAAAAGCAACAATGTCAGTCTAGAGACTAAGATGTGTCTTATCGAGACCATGCTCTACAATTACTTTGCAATTACTCAGAAAGCTGGACAAGGACTAATAACTACAGAAGAAGAATCAATGCCTTTGAGTTGTAGACTACCAAGAGAACAAGCATGTCTGTCCTGGAGAGGATAAAACCAAATTGCTTCTTGGAGATTAGAAATTTGGAGCTCCATCTTACATACTTTGGGCATGTTTCCAGAAGGGACAAGTCCTTGGAGAAGGACATCATGTTTGGAAAGATGTAAGGTCAGTGCAGGAGAGAAAAATACTGGATAAGATGGATTGAAATAATGACTGTGGTAATGCAAGCAGGTGTGTCAGAGATGGTGAGGTTAGTTCAGATAGGGCAGAGTTTGGAGCTATTGCTCATAGTATTGCTATGAGTCAACATCACATAAAATCAACAACAGTCTTAGGGCAAAGAAAGCTCTCATGGCCTAGGATCAAGCATCTGCACTGCTAACACAAAGGTATAGGGACTGAATCCACCATTTGTTCTATAGAGAAATATGTACAATCACCTCTCATACAATTTACTGTCTCTGAAAATGTGATGGAAGGTCAGCTACAAATTAGTTCCAACTCAAACTTACATAACAACAATTTGGTGGCCTATTGGTAAGAAGTTGCACTCCCAACCCAAATGTAGGTGGTTTGAATTTGGAAAAGAAGATGGCAAGTCTCCTTTCATGGGATTTACAGTCTCTGAAAACTCAATAGTGGGTTAGCTATAAATCAGTTCCAACTCCAGGGCAATGACTTTGCCCTAACCAAATGGAGGATCATTGAGTAAGTATCAGCTGGAGGGAAGTGGACTTTTAGGAACAAACTGAAAAAATTTTAATATTTAATATGCATATTATAGGTTTATAAAGACATCTTTCCCAGAATTATCCAATTCTATCTCTGAAAAAGAGTTAAAAAGAATAATTTAATAGCCATAGAACAGAGGAAAAAGTGAAGACAGAGTCTGCTTGGGTTCAGGTAGTAATATATTGTCCAAACTGGTGGCTTTTCATAAATAAAAATGAGCAGTATGATACACCAAGAACTGTCCATGGCAAACTGAGGACCTGAGCATCCTATATATTATATTAATAATAACTGCATGATTTGGGGGTTGAATAGTAGAAAGCAATAAAAGGATTAATTTTTGCATCAAGCCAATAAGGATTTTCTCTAAAAATAATGTTAGTGAGTTCAAACTCTGAACCAGAATGGAGACATAGAAGGTATTTTATTTTTTAATTAATACTGATGCTCATCAGATCTCCATGTTATTACTGGAGAAAGGTTAGGTACTTTATGAACTACAATTCAAAGGCACTATTTCAGAAACAATGGTGTTAACCTTAAAGAGCCCTAAATGGAAATAATATCTTGGTTAACCATTCAAGCACACACTAATTACTAGTGTTTAAACAAAGTAATTTTTAAAATGAACTGGGAAGAATTATGTAGACACTCACAGACATGTGTTTAACTTTAAAAAGTTCTGTTAATGGTAAACATGTCAAATAAAGGAGGGAATAGATAGACTTGCTTAGAAATGGAGCCTAGCTAGAGTACTTAGACCAGGGAGAAGAAGGATAGATGTCGTTTCCTCATTGGTTTATCATTTAAACAGAAGCTGTTATTTAGCTTTATCCTTGTAGTATTTTAAAAGGAACTTGAAAACACACAAGCATGCATACCCCCAACAAAGGAAAATGAAAAGTTAAAACTGTGTTACAAAACCATGATAGATTTAAACACACAAGGATTAAAGTGCAAGACTAATTGCTTTCAATTAAATATTATATATGACTCAACAAGGAAAATACCATTAATTAACTATAAATTTCAGACTATTATATGTGTTTCCTTGAGAGTGACTAATTCTCCAAATAACTCTGAGGAATGAGCAAATATTTTTCCCCATCATACAGCTAAAGAAATGAAAATATCACTACATTTAAAAACCTACCCAAGTGATACCCAAGTAAGAACCACTCAAATCCACCAAGTTTAACAGCCTTTGGGTCCAGTTTTTCCTAGTGGGTTGGGATGCTGAGGGATATTTCATAAAACCAGATCTAATAACAGATTAAAAATTTGCTTCAGTATTTCAGGATCTACACAGTGAAAATGTTATACTGTATGGTGTTGAACAGCCTAGATACAGGTTATGGAAATGCAGTTCAGCCTAAATATCAGCGATTTCTTTTGTGCCAACACAGCTACTTTTTTTTTTTTTAAGTGGGATAAAAATATCAGAACCCTTCTATTTCTCCCAATTTCAGTTGAACCTCATAAGGTCTGAAGAGTCCATAATGGGATCTTTTGGAGAATTTTAAAAGTGGCCAAAAGCTGTGAGAACACCTTCCTGAATATATCGGGAAGTCTGTACCTTAGTGAGTATCCGAAGGTTTTTCTGTGTAAAAGTCTTAATAGCCTTCATTGTCTCTGTTTATTGGCTCTAAAGCCCATTATTTGTTCTATAGGCAGACAATGTGAAGACTTTGTCCTATGAAGAGCTAATTTATTTGTGATATGCTGTGTATGTTAGTAATGAAATACAGGCGTGATTGTGCTTTTATTTTGATGATGCCATTGCATTCCAGTAAGAAGAGATTTCACAATTTAATGACATTTCCAATTATAACAGGTTCAAGTTTCTGAATTTCGTGGAATTCACAATGAAATATATTAGCACATATGTCTCCTAAATACATTGAGCTCTCTAATAGTAAAATTTAGTTCTGTAGTCTCATTATTCTGGCTGGGTTACAAAAACAACAGTTGTTTAAGAAATCAGCATTAAATATTAAAGAATAAATGTAGCATTTAAAGCATTAAGTTTAGTTGTCTCTGACTTCATGTAACTCGGGCTTTGGTTAACATAAAGTTAGCATATCAGGTGTGGAAAATTGGTGCCACTTTGATTTCAGGTTCAAAATTAAATACAATGTGGTTCTAAACATAGAAAGATCCCTGGAATTTTACCTTTAGAAAGGCTTTCTCTGTAGCGTGGAGCCTATGAAAGCTATTTCCGTGTGCCTTTTTCTCTTTTGTGCCTACGTCATCGATTTAAAGGGTTTATTTATTTATTTATGTATTTAATTTTAAGAAGCGCTAGGACGTTCTGTAAAGATCATCATCTATGTGCTAATGACAAGTGAGGACAGAGACTGTGAGGATGGTGGGGAGAGCTGTGCTGTGGCAGCCCAGGAGGATAAGGGAGCAGGTAATTCGGCGCTCCCAAAGAATCTTATTCCACCCAAGAAATTTGAAAGAATACAGGAGGGTGGGGGGCAGCAGTCCTGCATCCCTGAAGGGGCGTGGCTTCCCTCCAGAGGCTGTCCAATCGAATTCCTTCAGAGGGAGCTATCCGGAGAAGATTGATGAGGGTTGCTAGGCAACCCCAGCGTCTCCCTCCCTCCTGACCCAGAGATTGTGCTGCGCACCAGCCCTCTCCTGGGGCTCTCACTGTGCAGTGGGGTAGCGTGCGGGGCAGAGCTGTGCACCGGCCTGGCCTCGCTCCTGCCCTCTCCTTTCTCCTCCAGCATGCGGTCTGCCGGTAGCATCAGGACCACAGTATAGTTCTTCCAAGGGTTGACTCTCAGTCCTCGTTCTCTTGCAGGCTGCCAATAAAGCTCCAGCCCAGCTTCAAAGTTGGAGCCGGTGCCCTCTCTGTGGCCCACGCCCCTTCACTCCACTCCTCAGAAATTCCTCAACCTTTGTGCGCACGGGTTAGGATTGCAAATACAGTGAGGTGAAACAGTCAGCAAAACTGCCTGGGCTTCCCATACAATAACCTTCCCCTCTAGGTTCCCTGGCTCACTGAAGACTCTGCAGATACACCCTATAAAAGGAGGGAGGCAAGGGAGGAGAAGAGGGAAGGAGAAAAAGGAGGAGGGCGAAAGAGGGAAGGAGGAGAGAATGTCAGGAGGACCGAGCCTAAGCCTAGAGTTCCAATTAAAGGAGGTCTCAGCCCAGCCAAGGTGAAGGAAAGTTGCTTCTGCTCCTGGAAGTGGGTTTGCTTGTGAAGAGGAGGAGGAGGAGGGCGAAGCCTGGAAGTGCTCCCCTCCCCTCCTCGGAAGACCACTGGGTCCCCCCTTTTCCCAACCTCCTCCCTCTCTTCTTCACCCACCCCTTCTTTTTCCCACTCCCTTTTCACTGGGAGGCTTGGATGTTCTGCCACCGGGCCTTGGTCCAGCGCGCAGCCAGGAGGGGGCGGGTGCAGGGGGGCACTGTGACAGGAAGCTGCGCGCACAAGTTGGCCATTTCGGGGGCAAAATAACTTCTCCCTTGGATTTGGAAAGGACAAAGCCCGCAAGCTACCTCTTTTGTGTCGGATGAGGAGGCTAAACCATGAGCTGGAGCCCGGGTGCAGGCTCAGCCACCACCGCTGCCACCACGGTCAGCTCCAGTCCCCGCCAGGAGTTGGCAGTGCGAGGTAAGAGGCGCGGAGGAGGACGTGTGCCCCTCGAGGGTGCCCAGAGAGGGTGCCCAGAGAGGGCGCGGAGAGTCGGCTGCCGCGTGGGGCACGCACAGCCGAGAAAGTTGAGGCAGAGCAGGGACCAGTCGTTACAGTTCTGCCCAGGGGGGTGAAGGTGGGGCAGAGGTGATGTGGGTGAGCAGAGTGAGAGTTTGTGTGTGGATGTGTGTGTGTCCTGCGCGCGCACAGCTGTGCACTGGCGAGGGAGGGAGGTTCCTGGATGGTCACCAGCAGTCAGGGTGCTAGGGGCGAAGGGACGACTGCACACCTGCAGACCCCAGAGAGACCAGGCTCATCCTCTAACCTCCTGCAGTTCTTCTCCAGACTCAGGATTCCTTCCCATGCAGGGCTTAGTTGGGCTTTGTGCACGAGGAACCGTGCAGTGACTGGCTGACACACACATGGTTGATGTGGGTGTGGAGGTTGCCAGGGGAGGTGGGCAGCGGGCACTGGTCGGTGGTGGTGCTGCTGCTAGGATCGGTGCTGCAGTTGGGGGCGGTCAGAGGTGTTACCTTTTACAAACACGCTGGGGTGAAAGCCCTGACTCCCTGCCCTTTTCTTCTTTTAGCTTGATCAGAAGCCCAAAAATCGAGATTGGGAGCCTCTTTCATTGATCTGTTCCATTTTCTTATCTGACAGTGAGATAACTCAGAGAGGGCGGGAGATTCGTGGTCTAGAAATAGACTAGGTAACATGCCCAATAAGCTTCCTTCTAAGGATTTCAGTTCGATTTATTTCTAGTTCCTAGCTTGAGTGAATACATGTAAAATATTCTTTAAAGAACAACATTTTTAGGCAGATATTTTTGAGGAAAGGTGCTCCTTTCAGGTATTTTAGAGCATTGTACGTTTTGAAAATAACTAAACTGTGTACTTCTAAAATTCGTGCTCAATTGTTCAGCTAATTTGTTAGTCAAATATTTCTGCTGTTATCTTAACAGGAATAGATGTATTTACGTCATTGGTTACATGTTGGTATATTCAAAGTTGAAGTTCCTATGAGTTGAAGACCTCAGCTGTCGTCCATCACTTTGAATTTCTTTGTGTCACTTACTCTTCGAAAACTGCTAGTAGAACTAGATGGTGCTTCTTTGTGAGGGAGATGAGCACCCATTTGTTGGAGACAAATAGCGTTAGTTTAGTTTATGCAAGTCTTCAGTTTTTCTGGTCACACCTTTTAAAGCTGCTACTTGAACTCTAATTATTTGTCTAAGCACATTTGATGTGTGACTGAAAGCATCTACATAGACACTACAGTAAACTCCTCAAATAACATCATTCCTGCCTAAGGTGTCTGGACACTATTGTTAGTTAATGATTCTACAGTGCTAAGCACAATTCCCCTTCCCCCACCCCCCCAAAAAATGCCCACTTGAATGTGAGTATGTGTGGAAGCTCTTGGACACCTGCTAAAATGATATCTTCCCTTTTTGATGACATTGGCATATTTACTAAAAAGGAAAATCCCCACCTGTGGGTTTCAGTAGTCCAGCCTTCAGGGTTCTGATCATTCAGCAGAAGTACAAAGATACTTGGAGAAGGCATGCCCTGAGGCTATCGTGATTTATGTTCCGAGTTAACACAGGTGCTCTGAGTGGAAAATTAGGTGAAATCTTGAATTTTACACTCTCAAAAGGCAAACAGTAAAAATTTCAGAATACCTACATTAGCTGGAATAAAGAATTAAGGGATACTTCAGGAATACTTTTACTATTAAGACCCTTCCCTTAAAAAAAAAAAATAAAAATCTGGACTCAGATAGACCCCTGCTGCCAATAAAAGGTAAAAACAAATCATAAAAATTTTGCCCAAAAAAGATTAGGATTAGGCTCAACTTCAAGGCATGGGGTACAGAAATATCTCTTTTCATTTGAAGTGAGAGGTATTATTTTACACATCAATAGTATGTGATCACTAAGTTGAGAATATGTGTGAAACGTATCATGAATAAAAATATTAGGATTAATGAAACATATGCTATTACCCACTCATTTGTGCATAATGGTCCTTTATTTAAAGTTGTAATGTATACAGGAAAGGAAATTACTATAAATTCACCTCACAATTAAAAAAAACCTAGAAGAATTATCTCTGATTTGATGTCATGACAATTAAAAATGATACATGGAACAAATAGAAAGGCATCATAAAAATTTCTTTTTATTTAAATTTAAATCAGTATTTTTGTCAAAAGAACTGGTATGAATCCCATAAGGTCATCAATACTCCCCTTGTGGTTGCTGATCAATTGGCACTCACAACAATGAGGAGGTCATATTTTATATCTTCCTTGAGTACCAGAAGATGAAGACACCCTTAAAAGTAGTCCTTTCTTAATCCATCTCAACCTCTTTTTATATTCTCTGCTCCTCTAATAGTGTCCAGTCGTGATCTTGATCCAGGGACTTCACCCCCCTCCTTCCTAAATGGAGCTCACATGTAGCCTGTTTGCTATATTTAAGTAGCAAAGGATTTGTACAGAAGGGATGACATGTTTCTATTTGCTTTCTTATACTCAACCTCAAGAAATCATTAAACAAAGGCAATGTGAATTAATATCCAATCTCCATTGAAAAGCCAGGAGGACAGTGTGCATTATGCACATTGGAATGTAGCCAGATTTCCAAGGTGAGACATGTTTTCCCTAGGGGCAACTCCCAGGAGGGGATGGAAAAAAAAAAAAGGAGGTGTTTACAAATAGTTGCCTGCTTCGCTATTTTACATTGAGTTCAGTATGCATTTAAATCTATTCTGGCATACTGGTGAATACATCAAACATACACTAGGTGAATTTTTTCAGATTACTCTCAAGAAGTAGCATCATATGACAGCAGATGATCCATGTTGATAGGATACAAAAAACTAATACAATCATAGCAATCACTGTAATGGTAAAGACTATTGATTGGCTCATTCTCCTGCTTCCACCTCTAATGTAGGCTTGGTCTTGGTCTCCACAGCATGCTGTATGTCGGAGAACTTTATTCCAGTCTAACTTGAAATGGATCAAGTAATGACTTCTAGGGTTTTTGAAAGATTATTGCACAATCCATTATGCTCCCTATTAAGAACTTTGTTGTGATAGTCTACCTAATTTCCTCCTGGTTTTATTTTATTATTTGGTCTCAATATCCACCCCACCCTCTCAGACCCGTTCATTCTTTTGCTGGATTTGAAGTCTTCATCCAATGTTTATATAAGACTTTTAGGCTACAAAAGCTTTACACAATTCCAGGAGACAACACAACATCTTCGCTAAATAATGAAGGCACATCTTTAAGAAATTTGTGTGTATGGCTTTGTATTCCTCATCAATTATCTTACTAATTAATATAAGAGTGAAGAACTTGCCTTCTGTAAAATAATGACCTATGTGAATATGGAGATGATACCTTCTAAGTAATATTCTATGTGGATGCACATTTCTGAGAAATTTTTATCATAAAATTGATGTCAATAGGACCCTGTCACCACCCATACTACAAGGAGGAATTCTGTGACATGCTAGTCTGATGCTCCACTGAGCCCCAGAAGCTGTTGTCATGTAAATTCCACTATTGAAATGAAAGTAATTTCCATAATTAATAAAATGTGCTAGGAATAAAATAGTGTGTGTAGTTTGGATCAGGGCTTGGAGGGAGTTCATTCCAAGGTTTGACCTGCTGCTGAGAATTTGCATTTCTACTTCACATATATTAAATCAGAATTTACATTTTAACAAGCTCTCCAGGTGACTCTTCTGTATATATGAATCATCTGGGGTATCTTTAAGAATTACCTGAGGTTCTTGTTAAAATGTAGATTCTGATTTAGTATAGCTGGGTTGGAAATGCAAATTCTCCACAGGAGATCCAATTGGAATAAACCTGTTTCAAGCTTTGTTTGAGATACATAGGTTAACATGGTGTATTAATTCCATTAGAATTTTCAGTAGCCTCTTCATGCTGAAACAATGTTGAAAGTATTGGTAGAAATAAGTCCCAATTCTTCACTGTGCTATACCATGAAAGGTAAGCTGAAATGATGCATATGTCATGATGGAATGATATTATATTTAAATGTGGATACCATATGTGAAGGTTATGTTAAAAATAGAAAAGCCAGGGTTTTTAGTTTGTTCACTTAAAATCTGTTTGCAAGGCATCCATGCAATCTTCTTTTAAGATCCTTAAGCAAGTATCTGGTAGACTCACCTTACCACTCAATTGTTTCTTTAAGTTCCAGCCATTGAGATGCAAGTTCTGCTAGACAGCAGAGGAGTAAATGATAAACCAGGAAATACATTCCTACTTTCCACTTGGCAAGTCCCAAAATATAAGACAAAGAGTAAGGTGAATCAGCAGCTAAAACACAATTTACTACTGTCTTCTTTATTGCTTGTTAAGCGTTAGATGATACATAGAAACATCTATGTAGACTAAGTTAAGAGAACGTTAAGGAGAAGTGACATTCTGAAGCTGAAAATATGTTCAAAGGAATAAAATCAGGCTGTATGGAATAAATAATTTTTAAGCTGGCATTCTCCTTCCTGTGAAGCCCCAAAGTGTTTTTATAGTATCATTCATTACATAGCGGTGAGTACCCTCAAAATGATTTTCCTTAGAAACAAAGAAGAAATCAATTTTCTTGGTAAAAGAAAAGTAGGCCATTAATATATGTGCCACTTCTCCCTACAACAGAGAAAAAAAATCTCGAGTCTTCCTACACAAAATGTATTCTTTGTCATCAAATGCATAACCTTTTCACGGAACTGGCAAAATTATACCGCACCTTAAGAATAGGGAGTTCTGGGGGCATAGTCTATAGACTGCTAACTTAAAGGTGACATTTCTCTGGTAGTTCAAACCCACTAACGACTTCATGGTAGAGAAGGGCAAACTCATCTTACCTGGTTTACAGTCTCAGAAATACCATGGAGGTTTGGCTACAGGTTGCTTCATACTTGAGAGCAATGAATTG